ATGGTGTAAACAGCATTTAACAAAATTGGAACTTTTTTTTTAGGTCACGATGAATTACCTTTGGTTCAACCGAACTCTACCGCAAGCCGTAGTCGAACCCAGACTCCATCATCAGTTACTTCCGATGTACATTCGTATCGATAAAGATTACCCCATGCCCCTCTCCATCCAGGAAGGCCTACAAAGGCTTGGACATGAGGTCAGGAATATAAGCGGTTACGCAGTCGTTCAAGCTGTGGCCAGAAATGAGGATGGAACACTGACAGGCAAATCCGACCCCAGGAAGAGTGGCTGGGCTGCTGGGTACTGAGGAGATCTCAATTCTGTTACTTCATTGACTGTGCATATTTTAAGGATAACTATGGAACCTTCATAAGTTCCCTGCTCTATATTTTCTAGTGTATTAAAGGAGCTCAGTAACAGTGTTTTGAGCTAGTTGGAGCACGTACAAAACTACCTTTAAATTGAAGGAAACCAGAAAATAGTAGTTTACTAAGAAAAAAACTTAACCATCCTTATTCCTTTATTCCATAAAGGAATAAGGATGGTAAAGGATCGGGAAAAGATTAACACGGATTGCAAACGACGAACTTGAAAAATTTAGGCTTAACTTTTTAAGATGCGCAAACCGTAATGTAGCTCCTTTTAAAGCCAATTCAATTGATGAAGGTCTGTTTTTTTTAAGTGTGAAAGTGAATGAGCGAAAAAAAAGGTGAAATAAAGTTTAATTTAACCTTGACAAATGGATCACAGCATCCAACATGCAGTGTCTGATAATTATTGTATTTTTCCAACTCCCGGACCGCCCCTGTAGTTAAACACCTCTTGAACGTGCCAATCAATTAGAGTTCCAGAATATTTGTTGAATTTCGTTTACTCTGTAAGACTGAAACTTTCAATAGCTGTTTATCAACCCTCACCGAAATTTTGATGATTAAATTGTTTCTCCACGTCATTTGAAATTGCTATAGCAACCGCATGTTTAGGTGCAAGTCAAGCTTAAAATCATCTTGTTGGATGTAATTATTCGGTTTTTCCAGTTTGTCAGCAAATATTCGTAATTGCCGAGAACATAGCGATTTTATCGTTTGGTCGAGCTTTGAAATTTCCATTGCCAACGACAAAACCAAAATAATTTTCTGAATCAATCAGATCAATCTGCATTTCCAAACAGGTCTGAATAAGATATTCCTCGAAAATCTGAGAAAGCCTACTTTGTCAGTTTATGCCGTCCTTATATTTTCCACGATCTTTACTGCAACTACCACAAATCTTTACAAGCGTTCATACAACTACGAGAAATGTTTGTGCGTATGACGCCATGATAAAAACGATCTAGTCTAGCTGGGCTTCTTAGCGCGGGGCCATTGTTTACATAATTGATTTATTTTTGATGCTTCTTGCATAAATTACGTTATTCTGTGCTCAATTTTAATGTACACAAGTACGGAGATTTGATCTTAGCGAGGTGGTTGCGCTCCTTATCTTACACCAAGCGTGTTTGTTGATTTTCCTTTACATTGAAGGGTGTGTACGAGGCAAAATGAGCAGCCAAGAAACTGCAAAGGAGGTTTCGTACAAGCCGGTTCAAATCGAGGAAGACACCCCTCGTAAAAGGTAAGACTCGAATGTGTCATGCGATCAGCCAACGAAACGCCTGGCTAGTGTAATATCAGAACTGCATGTTTGATAACAATTGATTTAATACCGATAATACCTCGATAATACCTCGGAGCTTGCGGTTGATATTCTATTTTTTGACCTGTTGTTGCCCGGCGTACATGGACAGATAGTTCTGACTCGATTTGCGCGGACGGCGTCGGTCCTTCGTTGTAAACAGTGTTAGGGAAACAGTCTGAAGTACGCGTCACGATAACAGTGTTGACATGCCTCACTGATTACCTTTATCAAGACTGTTTCGGAAGCTAGAGGAGGGAATCTCTCCTTATCCCTCTACCTTTCTCTAATGTACTTTATTCTTTACAGATAATTTCAGTTTGTCGTTTGGCCCTGATCGAAGCCTTCCAACTCGGTTCTCGACAACAGATTGTGACTCGGTCTGGTAATTGCGTGCTTGTGAATATTCACAAGGACTTACTCATTAACATACGTTAAACAGGCAAACAATTTGACCTCTTTTTCTTTTGGATAAAAGCCTGTTGGAGGGTCAAGCGGTTTAAAATAATAAACAAAAAAATACACTCTTTTTTATAAAAATATTGTTTTTCCGGCCGAGGCTGAATATTGTTATTTTCATGTATTTTTCCGTCGATTTTTAGGCTGAAAATATTCTTGTAAATATTCTTAGATTATAGCGTATGACATTTCTGTTTTCGAATGTATTTGTTGTCTGAATGATGTTAAGGTAATTTTGGAGCCAGCTTGCGGGCATTAAAGCTTGATATGACGCACGTCACATAACTTCTTGGAGAAATATTATTAACATCGAAATTACCGGTAGTGGCTGCACAAGCACACGGTCAAGGCATTAGACAAAACGTAGTGACGTTTTAAACTGATTAAAACGAGTGAACTACGTTTATTATATGGCTAGCTCCGTGAGCGGGCAAGATGAATCAAATCCTGCGTTGTGATTGGCTACCCGAGCGGGCAAGATGGAGCTATCTTGCCCGCNGGTCTTTTTTTGCGAGTTTATGGACCTCGACTCCGTCTCGGTCCATACTGAACACGCAAAAAAAGAACTTGGCCAATATCCAACCATCTTGACCTCACACTTGGTCAATAACCCATACATATCTGCTCTTACTTTATAGAACTAACAACCGACGAATTCTTATTATCGTTCTGGTAGTCACTATCATTGTGGTGGCAATCGTCATCGCTCTCACCATTGTCCTGACGAGAGAAAAGCAGTCCAAACCGGACAAACCTGTTACCAAACCCCACCCAAGCGTGACACCAACCCCGAAACCTATACTACCACCACCGACCGGACCCCCAGGGGCGGATGGCCCCTACAAACACGCCGTAGTAGCATCGGATGCCGGTCTCTGCTCAGAGATTGGCCGGGACATTTTAAAGAAAGGGGGTTCTGCCATGGATTCGGCGATCGCCGCCTTGTTCTGCATTGGTGTTTACAACATGCATTCCGCTGGAGTGGGTGGGGGCGGCTTTATGGTGGTGTACAAGAAGAGTACGAGGTTCGTAGAGGTGATTGACTTTCGCGAGGAAGCGCCAGGGAAAGCCAATAGAACGATGTATGTTGGAGGGAGAATGAGCTCGACAATAGGTAAGTAAAGACAGAAGTGCTTGATTAAACGCCAGTAGAATTTGTTTAAGTGAGACTCAACCTTGTCAGGAGCCTATCACTAGGAGCCTGCAACCACCACACGTTCCTGTCACGGCGTTTTCACAGACCGATCCATTTTTAGTTTGATTTTACCGCGAATTCAGACCCCCCAGGAACCTCAGTGACCAATCACAAGCACGGACTTAATTTTTAACTGACGTCGTCATTTCACCTAAAGAAACGATGCGAGGTAAGCAATTTTGTTCCTTACCGATGCGCCCTCATGTAGACCAGAACTGATCTATTTCGCGGGAAGAGAAGCCTAAAAATAGACCGGTCTGTAAAAGTCTCGACATACCCTTAATATGGGAGTTGTGCGCTCCTAGTTATGGGCTCTTGATCTTGTAGATCCCGTTTTATTGTAACCCAGCGCATTTAAAAAATTTTCTGAACTTGCTTTGGATGCGAGGTGATAAATTAAAAACGAGGAGCATATCAGTGAGTTTTGAGTATCGTTTTACTGAATTCTTCAAACGACTGAATGATGTAGACATTTCAATTTGCTCTAAATGAGGTGATGTTCTGAAAAGGAGGCAACCTGGACTGTGCGGTGTTCACTGAAACATAGGTGGAGATAGAGTTTTCTTTCGAAATATTCTTTGCGCAATCTCCTCAGAAATCGTCTATTTTCTGAAAATTGTGACCAAAGGTTTCTATAGCCTGCGTAGCAAGCGTTTCTGTGGGGTTCGGGAGCAAAGAATTACAGCGCGAAAAATGGAACGAGTAAAAGAGGGGGGAGGGGGAGGGGAAGGAAGGAAGGAAACGCTTGCAGACAAACCCCTGGATTTTGAAAACCGCCCACTTGGCCTTTCGTGCCTG